TTTTATAAAAAAATATACCAGTCTAGTAGAGGAGGTGACAATCTGGGCTGAAACATTTATCTTCAGATTCATGTCCTGAGTGATTGTGGGTTTTTTTTTTAAGCTTAAGCATTTTTACATCTTCTTTAAATTGTTAATGCAGCCGTTAAGTTTCCTCTGCAATGGAGCCAAAAAAGAATATTGTAGGACAACGTCTCAAATTTTTAGTATTAAATCTGAGAAAGGAATAGAATGCATTTAGCTACACTGAGAAGATCTTCTGCTGTGCTAAATTTATGTTTTGCACAGCTGAAGTGGGTAGGAGAAGATGGCTCAGAGTCATATTTCTGTTCTCCCACTCTTGTATTGGCTAGAAACCAAAACAACCCCCATGACTACATTAGAGCTACACTGTTATTAGTCTAAGTAGCCTTGTCTACAGAGGTCCTATCAGGAGCATTGCACAGGATAATACAGAGGGAAGTGCTATGCACCCTTCTTTTAGAATCAGAGTTGACTCTGTAGCATTTGGGGATTTGACTATGCATACAGTGACATCATTCTTCACTGACATGATGGGTCAGCTTCTTGACTGCCTCGTCAGTAGTCCGAAACATCTAGAACTTGGGCCAGAGGTCTGGTCTCTTGCACACAAACATCTACCACGGCGTTTTACTGTTTTAAAATAAGAGATGCCAACACGTGGAATACTATTCAGTGAAGCTGAAGGGTATGTCATAAGCCACTTCTTTAGCTGGCCAGTTATGTTAAGGCTTCCGCTAAGGTGAGAAGCACACTACATACCAGAGCTAGTTCTCTCTTGGTTAAGCAACACCTGCTCAACATTGTTCATTCATATATGGTGTTCTTAACAACTTAGTAACACTAAATAATAATTTCCTACAGCACATTTTATTAAGAGATTCCAGAATTCCACAGTCTGTATGGAAATGCTCAGATATAGGGGGATTAACTTACATGCCTAAAATCATTCATTGGCAGAATGGGTAACAGAACCTTCCTCAACTTTTTATTCAGGTTATTGAATAAAATGAATCTGTTGTGCCAGGCACACTACCTTTCTCTTGCTCTGTTAAGTTATACTTTGATAATTTAGTAAGTGGAAAACCATATTCCTATTCATGAATCACAAGCAGGAGCTCATGATTTCAACATACTTTATGACTTCTTTCCCCTTAGTAGTGGTTTGGCTGGCTTTCTTGCAACTAGGACAGTGTAATCTCCCCAAGCCAAATGACAGATCTGTATTCCATGAGGAGATTACATTCATTTGAATGGGGAAGAATTACAGCTTTTCTATTATACCCAATACTCCAAACCTTCAAAAGGAAAAATGTACTTCTTTTCAATCCAGAAAAGAAGATTTATGTAATAGAACATTCAGGTAGGACTGTACATTTATTTCGTTACCATTCGTAAATTGCCTAATTTCTCTATACTTAGCAACAGGCATACTTTTGCTCAACAGACATTGCAAAATCTTGAGCATAAGACTTGCTCTTTATTATGTCACTGTGAACCTGCATCGTACAGAAAGCCCATTTTCAGACCCTAGAATTTAGGTGAGGTGGTTTTCCCCATATGGAAACAGTGGTTTCTGGCAGAGACTAACCTGTTGCATGTATATCTCTGTTTTATGTATATATAAACTGTGGAGTTTTGTAGTGTTCTCTTGACTGGTTCCCAAACCACAATTATATACACTTTTGCTCACTTCTTTCAGTTTGGTTCCCATGGCTGATAACAGGGATATTAATTATTACTAATTTTTAATATCGCTTGCCTGCATGCTTGGGCATTAAAAAAGAAGAAAGAAAAAAAAAACAAACAGAAATTGAAATATACAGATCAGCACTGTGAATTTGGGGGAATCTTCATGCATATGTATAAAAAAGAATTCTCTTCTATTTTGTTTTCTGTGTGAGCATCTTTGATTAGTCTCAGAGGACTTAATTCTGTTTTATGTAGATAAGGCTTTTCTCTTGACTAATACAGAATATTAATTCTATATTTTGATCAGTGATTCTACAGCTTTTTTTTCCCCAACAGAACTTCTCTTGAAGTTCATGGGATGATCTGGGGGAATTAAGATTTTCAGAATATTTTTCCTTTTAGCTGTGCACTTCTCTAAGAAGGAAATTAAATCATTCTTGCAAGATTGAAACTTCTAAGGTCTTCAGAGAGATTCTACACAGAAAAAAAAAGAAAAAAAAAAAGTATAGCTTTATTACCCTCAAGTTTACTTTTCCCAAAAAGCACTATGCTAAAAACACACACATTCACACTAAAACAAAATAAAAGATACTGTAACTTAGGGTCAATAATATTAATATTAAGGTAATATTCAGGGTCTTCCTTGACAGTGAACTATTGCTTTCCTGCTCTTTTGCATCCTTTTTTTCTTGTAGGGTACAGTAAGTGTCTTCAGTCTTCTCTTGTCTGCTATAGTTGCTACCTTTTCTTTAAGCTCTTTCATATATCAACTTTGCACTATGGTCAACAGAGGAGATGATAATAAAACGAACAAAAAGTTTCCATACACTTTAACATATTTTTTGTGAACTGTCCCACTACTGAAGCAGAATACATGCCATATTAGACCTTGAACACTTGGTTTGTGTACTTTCATCTGTGCTGGATTTCAACAAACTGGTATATTGTTATTTTTAAATTGTAATGTACTTACTGGTATCACTTGAACGTGAAATCAATCAGGTTAAGATCCAGAACGTTTTGCAATGATATGGCAATGGAAAATTTTGATCATTTGTTAAATCTTTTAATGGTTCTATGTAACTGACATTTTTCATAGTATGCCTATTACCATGGCATCAAAGCTCTTTAGAAATTTAGTAAGTATCGGATCACCATGTGTATTAGTGAAGCCCCATTAGTTTCAAATGGATGCAGTTCATACTGTTTTTTAATTTCCTCCTCCACAACCTTCACTGCGATAAATCCAAAAGTGGGATGCTTTGTCTCACATTCCCTGTGTCACACAACACTTGCTATTTTCAGGAGAAAGTTAAAGAAATATAGGTTTATAGATCTGAGGGTCAAATTGCTATCGTATGACTAATGCAGGAGCTGCAAAGGTCTTGCTATATTTTCTCTGGTACATTTCCATTTGTTCAGACTAAACCTCTCAGTAGAAAAGCAAATATTAATATCAATTGGCTGAAAATGAATAAATTAGGAAACATTCTGTTAGGTATTATGAGCATATAGACTCTGCCTTTCTAAATGTAGAAGTTCAACAGAAGATGCCTAATCTGCAATATTTTCATCCTCATTTCATGAATATGTCACTGATGAATACACTAAGGAGAAGTAACACAGCATCTGCTGTTTGCATATTCTCCTGACTGGTATATAGCCTTGGAATGAAACCTCTGTTGTTAAGAAAGTCTTTTCTGTAAAAGTATACTGCAGTGTGTACAGCACTGCACAAACAGAAAGACAAATGGCTTTAAACAATAAGTACAAATACCGAGTCGAAATAGAAGAGGAACATTTAAAGAGCTCCTCTCACCTGAATCCCTGTTGCTATTTAAGGACAAATTCCATCAAAGAAGGGCTTTGAAAACAACTGCTTGTGATTCTACCTTTCTACTTGCAATACTGCTGAGATCCTGGGACCCTTAATACAATATTTGCTGTCAGTGCTAGGACAGTTTGGCAGTGTACAGATGTGTAGCCTGACTCCTTGCTATTTATAGATGACTCTTCTGCAGACAGTTCTTGAGGCGGTTATAATGTGGTAACAGCCATATTCTTTGATTTATTGCTTAAATTACATTAATGCTGCTCTACACCTGGCATGCCAAAGGAGACATGTTCATGAAGGTCAAGTATGTCTTCCTTGGCAGAGACAGCAGCACGAGGAGGTAAAAATGTGGGATTAACAAGGGAGCAGGGTATCCACTGTGAGGACTTTGTGGCAGGAAGAGCAATTTGGCAGGGACTCTGTACCCTGGAATAGGGAAGAATGGAATAGTCGCGTGCTCAGTCACACCGGAGCGATGCTTCTTTTCCTCAGGACCTCTGCAGAGCAACTGGGGAGGGATGTCAGTGTCATTTACGCACGTGAGGGGAAAACTGTCGAAGCTGGTTGATGTGCAGCGTCCTTGGGAGCCCATACATGGCCATGCTGCCTATCGGGTAACCATATGTCAAACGCTCCGGCAGAACGCTAGGCACAGGCTATTAATAGCAGCAGGGAGTTTGGCGTGCACTCATGCTTTCGCCTGGCTCCCTAGCACACCCTCCCAGGGGCTGGGAGCGCATCCTGCCGCCTTCCACATATGGGAAAGACTTGGCACGCTACGCCTGTCCCTTGAGGAGCCTCTCCATGAAGTCAAGGCAACGTGAGGGAAGGGACTGAGCCTGCTGAGATGGGAAAGGTTGAGGGAAGGGGGGATTATGCAGCTTCTCTCTCCTCTCGCAGAAACCTGAGGAGCTCTCAGGGCACCGTCTCCGTCCCAGCGCGAGGCAAATCACCCCTCTGCCCGACTCAGGCGAGTGGGGCTTGCGAGCAAAGTTGCCGTGCCCTTCCCCCGGCTCGGGCAGCTCCACTTAGTGACACCCAGGGTGCTGCAGCTCCCTCAAGCACTCCTGCCAAAAAGCCCGCCGCCGCTCTCTCCCAGGCGGAAAACTCTGGGAGCTGGCCAAGGTGCTGCAGAAATTATTCTATTTTATTTTTATTCTCCCTTTTTCCCGCTCAGCGCCTCCAAATAACCATCCGCATCACAAAACCCCGGCCCCTGTACACACGCCACAGAGCATCTCCTCTGCCTAAGCCGGAGCGCTCCGCCGGGTCCGAAGTTCCCCGTGAGGACGCAGCCGGAGGGCAAGGGGGGCACATGCAGGGAAAGGCGGCCGCCCCGGCGCCGGGGGAAAGCGGAAGGCCCCGGGAAGTTGCCCGGCACTTTCTGCGGCTGCACAAGGCTCCGGGCCCGGCCTGGCAGAGCCCGGGCGCAGGGCTCGGCTCGTGTCCTTACCTCGGTGCTCTCGGCGGCGTTCTCCGCCATTTTCCTCCGGAGGAGCAGGCAGCGGGAGGAGTGTTTCATTCCCATAAGAGCTAGCCAAGGGGATGGGGCTTCGGGGTTGGTGCTCGGGGTTGTGCTGGGTTTTCAAAAAAAACCTCCGAAAGATAGGGAGGAAAAAGGGGGGGAAAAAAAAAAAAAAGAAAGAAAAAGAAAAAAGAAAAAAGAAAAAAGATGGAAAACGGCAATTAAATCAGTCTGCTCTGTCCTTTCTTGCTTTGTCCACGGGAATGTTTGCCTCCTTCTGGCATCCAGTGTTCCCCAGGCACTTTCGAGTTCTCCTCTTTCCTTCTCTCCTCCACCTCCAGCAAGCTTTTAGGATGGGTAAAGAGGCGGCACACGCTCTTCAGGTTAAACTAAAGGGCTGTCGGGCTGAGAGTCCTCCCCTTCAGAGAAAGCAGTTGGGCTAAACAGGAGAGAAACACCAGCTAAACTGAACTTGGGCAGGCAGTGACCAGCTGGGCATCTTTGCGTCCTGTGGCTAATCTTCCAGAGCCAGAGGGAGCCAGAGACAAAGCAATAGGACAAGGAAATCATAGCCCCTTTCTTTCCTTCTTTGGGCTTCTTTCTCTCTAGATCTCCAGGAAGCTTCCTTTAAAGATGCTCACAGCATTTGCCACCCTCTTTGCATGAATGTCTTTAGAAATAGCAGCCCCCTCCCCCTTCCCCTCCCCTCCCCCTTCTGCTCTTGGGCTGAGCTGGATGCCCTTGTCCGCGAATTGCATTCACGTGTCTTTCCCCGATAAGAAAATATATCAAGCTCTCCCCCCAACCCCACCGTTGCCTACATATTTTCTCACATTCATGCACCCACAAATCTACATGAACACGCACATTGCTTCTCTTTCGTATAGATATTCGCAAATCTTTTTTTTCCCCATCCCTTTCTCCCTTCCCCTTTCTAAAGCAGTGCCAGTTTTCTTTGCAAAGACTCTCGGCAAAGGTCTTATGGGGCAGTGGAAGAAATTTGCTTCAGCTTCTTTTCTCCGAGTTAAAGAGCAAACCTGCTTTCCTCTTTTTCCTTCTCGTGTATGTGAGTGCACATTTCCAGCTTCTGTTTCACTTGATTTTTTCAGCAGGAGCCATGCTCCATCAGTAGCCCTGGACTGCTAGATTGCAAAATATACAGTCCTGGTTCAGACACAGCTCCTGCTGAAAAGAGCAGGGGATGGAGGGGGGACGATAAGGCAGGGGGAGGAGGAGGGAAGGGGGAGAGCGAGGAGGAGATGAAGGCAGAGAGGAAGGAAGGGAAGAGATCTTGCTGCGGAGGGAAAGGGTATGAAGGTGCTTTGGACTTCTTTGCAGTTTTTCCCTAGTGACATCTTTCTCCTTGGGAATGCATTGCCACCTTCCACAAATGTTTGTCTTGCTCTTACCTCCCTTGTTTCACTGTGCATAAGGGTGGGAGAAGGGGTATATTACATAATATAGCTTTCTACCTTCACTTTCTTCAGCTCAATCTCCAGCCTACTCTTTTTTTTTTTTTTTTTTT